TGGAAGTAAGTTCAAAAGAAAGAAAAATACTCAACACAATCGAGATTAAAACAAAAATTAGTATACAAAGTTTGCAACGCTTTTTTAACTGGAGGCTATTTTAAAAGCTGTCAAGCGAATCATGTTTAGATTGGTATGGGATTTCAGCCATAAATTGAGCAAATTTAGTTTGAAAATCATGATTCTGTTCGAAATACTTATTGTGCGCTACGGCCATTTTATGATCAACATAAACGTCCATCAAAACAATTATTTTGATTATCCATGGAACGTTTTGGTACTTTACTCTAAATGGTAATACGCATCTCCAGAGACGTCGTACAGTGCGCACATAAAAAGTTAATGCTGATGTAGAGCGTAGCATAGAGCAAGACCCGAATCAGTCTATTCACCATCGTGCACTGCAGTTGGATCTGTGCCTATTCACTTTGTGGAAGATTTTGCGCAAATATCTTGATTGACGTGCTTACAAGATCCAACTCGTGCAAGAATTGAAGCTATAGAATCACCTAGCAAGGCGTATATTCTGGGAATGGGCCCAAAACCAGATTGCCGTTGATCCTGATATTCATAATCGAATTTTATTTAGCGACGAAGCTCAATTTTGATTAAATAGCTATGTCAACAAACAAAATTGCCGTATTTGAAGTAAAAATAATCCTCAAGTGTATGTTGAAATACCAATATATCCAGAAAAACTGACTGTTTAGTGTGCTTTGTGCGCTGGTGGAATCATTGGTCCGTACTTCTTCCAAAATCGATGCTGGCCAGAATGTTCCATTCAATAGTGACCGCTATAGAGCCATGATTACTGACTTTTTTATTCCTTATTTGAACAATCATGATGTGCGAGAGGTGTGGTTTCAACAAGACGGCGCAACATGTCACACAGCTCGTGCCACAATTGATTTCTTGAAAGAAACGTTTGGTAACCGCATAGTTTTACGTTTTGGACCCATTGGCCTACAAAATCGTGCGATTTAATACTGCCAGACTATTTTCTGTGGGGATATGTGAAGTCGCTAGTCTACGCCGATAATCCCGAAGTGATTGACCATATGGAAAACAACATTCGCCGTGTTATTGCCGATGTACGGCCACAAATGTTGGAAAAAGTCATCGAAAATAGAAACTCTAGACTGGACTACGTCAGAGCCAACCGTGGCGGTCATATGCCAGAAATCCTATTTTAATTATAATGCCCAAAAGATTATCTTTTAAGTAAAGTCAATTTCATGCTAATTAAAGAATCATCTTTGATTTATTTCATTTCAAATTTCTAAAACTGAAAAACATCCCTTACAAGATGGTCAATAAAATAATACGAAAATTTAAAAAGAAATCAATGAAAAAAATAAAAAAATTACCAGGTAGTAGTAATTGTGGACATTTAAGAAATAAAATTAATATGGAAAAATTATGTAAAAGCATTTTTCTCAGTCCTAACAGTAAAACAACAAGTAATGAATATCATAACAGGCTTGGAGATCCTCTTAGATTAAGTTAAGGCACTAACATTACCCTTACAAGATATACATGTTTCTGATCCAGATAAACTGCAGGCTGAGATCATCAAACTCTTCGATAAATATTTAAAGGAAGAGTTAACTATCACATATAATGTCTGCCTAAAAAGCAGTCCAAAATGTGCAGGGATTATAAAACAATAAGTACGAGTATATATACATATCCATTCGTATATTGGTGGTTAATATACACCGACATATTGTTGCGACAGTTTCGTAAGATTATTTCATATAGAAAAAGTTCCTTGACGAAAAAGAAGAAATATTAAAAATCTAGAATATTTGAGATGTCATCAAAAAATTCCCAAACGTCTCGTAAGGTGTGGAACGTCAGAAAATGAACGAAAGTTTAAGTACCAGTAGTAATTAAGTGTGTGAATAGATGTGTCATTTAGTTAAAGTTGTATCAAATATTGTAATATTGTTTGCTGTATCAATAGAAAGATGTGGACAAGAACAGGAAGAGAAGCGTAGGAAAGAAGAGAAAGAGGTGAAGCAGAAGCATAAAGAAGACAAGGAAGAAGTGAAGAAGAGGTGAAGACAAGGCGTAGAATACTAGATGTAGAAATCATAAATAGTTTATCTTAAATTAATTATTTAAGTCAAATTATTAGTAGAATGTGTATTAGTGGGGTGTAGGATTGTGTTATAGAGGTAGCACCTTTTATCGGAACGACCACATCGAGCGTCATAGACGGGAGATGGTTCTTGATAACTGGTCCTCATAAGACACCTAACTCTCACTTATGGCTCCATAAGTGAAATAGCTGGAATAAAGGTAAATGGAGTTCCCATTAACAACATTAGATATGCGGACGACACTGTGATCTTAGCCGAAAACGTTGAAGATCTTCAGAGACTGGTGACCAGAATAGCAGAGTATGGAAAAGAGTATGGTCTAACAATGAATGTCAAGAAGACGAAATTTATGAGAATATCGAAATCTGAAAGAAATAACGAGAATCTTCTAATAAACGGAACCCACGTCGAACAAGTGAACAAATATGCCTATCTGGGAACAACGATTAACTCCACAAATGATTACAATCAGGAAATCAAAATCAGAATAGAAAAGGCTAGAGCAAATTTCAACAAAATGAGAAGAATGCTATGTACCAGAGATTTCAAACTGGAACTAAGAGCTAGGTTGTCGAGGTGCTATGTTTTTTCGACTTTATTTTATGGAATGGAATCTTGGACCTTAAATGCGATATCAATAAAAAAAACTGGAATCATTCGAGCTGTTTGTGTATAGAAGAATACTGAAAATATCGTGGACAGAACACGTCACAAACAAAGAGGTTCTGGGAAGGATGAATAAAGAAGTGGAAATTTTAAATACAATAAAAACAAGAAAATTAGAATATCTCGGACATATTACACGAGGAGAGAAATACACCTTGCTTCAACTGGTTATGCAGGGAAAGATCCACGGACAGAGCAGCCGTCTCAAAAGTCCGAATAGCTATGATGATTGCCGATCTCCGCCTCGGAGATGGCACTTGAAGAAGAAGGTTAGTAGAATAAACAAATCAGACAAACAACGAAACTATTTAGAAAATAAAACAGATATATGATAAATTTATTCTGCATAATATGTATCCAAAATGCATTTATGCATTCATTTGTAATATCAGCTACAATAAATAGGTGTTTTATCAAGGTGTTACCAACCTATATGGTTGCCATTAACTCTCTATGAATTGGAATAGTGCAACCTCAGCTGTTTCAAGAATTAAGTTTTAATGGGTTTTAAGAATACCTATTGTTTTAGTGAGTTGTAGTTTTCTATTAAGAAATCCGCTTTAAATAAAGAATCGGGTTGCACCTATATCAATAATAAAGGTGTATTTGTGATCGTCAACTTAAGATATAAATTCTGTTCATTGGTATTTAAAGTGTAAGTACGAATTTGAAAACCTTTATTATATAGTATTTTGCATTTGTTTTGGAAATGTCTCCAGGGAACATTCATGAAGCTTCTTCTTCGATGAGAAATTAGGCGAACTACAAATCCAAGCTTATTAAAAGTTATTGGCCGATATTAGGAATATCCTTTTATTCCAGCAATACATCTACAGTTTAACTTTGAAAAACGCTATCTTTTACGTTCTTTAAGTAGAGAAAAGACGTTGAAATAAAAGTAAACGATTGCATTTCTTTCCAATTCAAGCTCCAGCATTGCTCTACATGTGTGTCTATAAGTATTCACCTCTCATCAAAAGTAGTTGGATGTTCTCTCGTTTATGTTTTGTTTTCCTGTTTTTGATTTTTCACCTCTTTAGGACGTGGTTTGTTTTTCTTTAGTGGGTTGGCTTCTCACCATTCCCCATTCCCCATTCACAATCCCAGCAGCCTTTGTGTGAGCTGTGAGGTAACGGTGGATCGAAATATAGAGGTTAGATCTAGACTAGATCACCGGCCTGATGAATGTTTTGTAAGTATGTATGAGTGTGTGTGGTTGTGTCCTTCCGAACTTACCACAGAGAGCATTGAGTAGACCGACTCTGCTAGACCGACTCTGCTACTAGCCTTGTTACAGGCTATGTAAAGATGGGGCCTCCAGTTTAGTGTTTGAGTAAACACCACACCGGGTCGCAGACTTGAAGTCGGTCACCTTAGAGTCCAAGGTTGTTTCTTCCGGCTATGTTGTATGAGGTGAATCTGCTGAGACTGGGGTGTCTAAAGAGAATCATCTGAGGTTTATTTGGGTTAGGGGTTACTCTCCATCTCCTGCACTACCTGTCGACCAGATCAAGGTGATTTTGAGCAAACCTAAGTATTGAATTTACGTCTCGTGTTGTTGTTACGATATACTGTCTGCATAGAGCAAAGTGAGCGTGTTAGTGTAACGTGGGTTTGGAAAGTCGCTGTTGTATATAGTGTATAATATGGGTACCATCACTGAACCTTGTGAAACTCCTGCTGTAGGAGTAAATGAGTCAGAGAAATGACCTCGCTTTTTTACCGTCATTTGACGTTGAGAGATATATGAGTAGATAAGTCTAACGAAAGGGATAAACAGGCCGATGTTCAACAGTTTCCTCGCCAGTCCATCAGGTGTGGTAGCTTAAACTGAAATGAAATATTCTTAACTCTTTGGCCATTATAGTAACATAAAAGACCTAAACACGATAGTAGCGACCTCTATATGAGTCAACGTGAAGTCAGTAGACTCCTCTTTAATGGTGAATTAAGTAAATTTGGAATTGTAGTTCACCAATTTTTCAAGATAGATGTTTTCAAAATAATAATGCTAACCTACTACAATTTCGATTTAAATAGTGACATTTTAAACAATTTCATCATAGAAATGTTAAATCGTCCCCATCTAGATTACGATTTGGCTCAAAATTACTTCTTTTTATATCAATAACTCAAAAATAAATGGTGGATTTAATATATTTTTTAAAACAATTAAGCTATTTGTAATGATTATGTGTTCTTACAAAAATAAAAATATATTATACTTACTTGGCATTTCACAAATGAAAGAAGCAACTTCAGGTCCTCCACACGTCAAAGATTTCCATAAAAAGTCCTTTGCAGGATCCATGGCTACACATAGAGAATTTTTAGAGATGGGGATGGATTCCTGCCAGTGACCTTCACCTGATAAGGGTTGTAAACTATTCCTGGAAGAACGGCCATTATAATTAAAATGGTATTAAATAATTTATAGTATTAAATAGTATTAGTATTAGTATTAAATTATCTATAGTCTCTAAAATATGTTCTATCCCTTAGAAGAAGAGAAGGATAAATAGAAATAATAACAGAATGTTAAAATGAAATATGAGAATGAAGAATGAATGAATGAGAATTAATGCGTAATAAATTAAACTAAAAAAATGCTTTAGGTCTGCGTGGTAACAGAAATTATAAATAAAAAGAAATTTATCGTTCTCTTTGCCTTTATCCCTGTGCGGGATCGGCTTCTCTAGTTATATTTCTCCATAAGTTTTTATCTTAAGTCATAACAATATAAATCCCATTTTCCGATATGTTGTGCCTAAGCGTTTTACCTAGTCATCTTTGGTCTTCCTCTCCTACTCCTTCCAGAAACGCACAAATCAGCAATTCCTTGTATTAGGTGATTAATGTCTCGACATTGAACATGACCAAATCGCCTTGACCTATGTCCACTCCCAGATTTCCCCTAATATACTTTTTTTTCTTTTTTGTTACTGCACTCATCCTTCAAAGCATTCTCATTTCCGAATCATGCATTTGTTGTTCTTGTTTCTTATTAACTGCCCAATATTCAGTTCCATATGTCATTGCTGGTCTTATGGTTATTTTATAAAAAATTTTTCTTCAGTTTCATTGAAATTTATTAGTCACACTATATACCACTCACTTCCTTTCATCATCCAACCATCCTTAATTCAACTGCATGCATCTCCCTCTACTCCCCATTACTCTGTAATACCGATCCTAGGTACTTAACACTATTACCTTTGAAAATCATTTCACCATCCAACGTTATCATATTTTTTTGTAGTAACTCCATCTCTAAATGAAAATTTCAAATACTCTGTTTTTTTTCCGACTTAGTTTTAAAGCTTTTTATTCAAGAGCTTCTTTTCAGCTAGTTTTTGTTCTAAATCGCTTTTACTGTTTCTTAGTAATACTACATCATCAGCATACATTAAGCACTATCATAGGAAATGTTATTCTGTAGTTTTTCTGTTATCAGATCCAACACTAACAAGAATAAATAGTACTAAGTACTGTGCCTTGGTGCGATCTTACTTCAACTTGAAATTAATCAGTCTTTCCCACACCTGTCGTAACACTAGTTGTTACTCCCTCATACTTTTATCTAACAATATTTAAATATGGACCGGGAACTCCTTTCTTATTGAACGCCCTCCACAGAATTTCCTCGAGGAACTCTATCATCTTCTTCTTCTTCTGGTTCCTATCCGTTTCGGAAGTTAGAAATCATATTGGCAATCATAACCTTGCTCGCTGCGGCTCGAAACAGCTCCGTTGAGGTTTTCTTAAAACATGTTCTTAAATTCAGCCATGACATTCTCCTTCTACCGGGTCCTCGCTTACCTTTGACTTTACCTTGCAATATAGACTGTAGCAGGGAGTAACGGTGCTGATTTCTCATAACGTGTCCCAGATATTGCAATTTTATGCGTTTGATCGTAAACACAATCTCTGGTTCCTTCTTCATTTTCCTAGAACTTCCTTGTTCGTGATAATTGCTGTCCATGATATTCTCAGCATTCTTCTATAAAGCCACATCTCAAATGCTTCAAGTTTTTTACTAGTGGTGTCTATAAGCGTCCATGCCTCCGCCCCGTACAACAACACAGAGAAAACATAGCATCTCAAATGTCTCATTTTTGTATTAAGGATATGTTGTGACTTTTGAAGATGGTGCTCATTTGTTAAAGACCGTTCTTGCCTTTCCTATGCGGCACTTTATTTCCTGTAAATTGCTCCACTGTTCGTTAATAATAGTTCCCAGGTAACAATACTGTTTTACTCGCTCTATCTGCGTCCCATTAATGTATAGATGAGCCCCGTTTATATTCTCCTTGCTGATAATCATTTGTTTCGTTTTGTGGGTATTAATGTTTAGTCCGTAATGTTGACTGTACTCGTTTATTCTGTACATTAATATGTACATGAATATCTGACATTGTTTACTCTTTCACCATTTAGAAGGATGCCTTCGTCTATTCCGTAAAACATACTCTATCATATGCTTTCTCAAAATCAATAAATACCGATGATTCAACCTTCATTAAACTCCTTGCATCTCTATCTATTTTTCCATTATTCTGTAATATCGATCCTAAGTAATTGTATCATTTCATTTCACAATCAATTCACCATCCAAAGATATCATTTTATATATAGTAACTCTATCTTTAAATGCATATTCTAAATACTAAATTTTAAAAATTTTTAAAATACTAAGTTTTAAAACTTTTTTCAGTTTCAATCCAAGAGCTTGTCTTCAATGTTTCAGTTTTCGTTCTAAGTCGCTTTCACTATTTGCTACTAACAATACATTATCATCATACATTATTCACCAGAGATTGCTACCATGTAGTTTCATTGTTATTTGATCCAAAACTAATGAGTTTGCCACCGTATGCATACGTACTAAGCACCGAGCCTTGGTATAATTCTACTTTCACATAAAGTTTATGTCTCCCTTCACCTGTCCTAATACTAGTTGTTACTCCCTCATACATATCTCTTACTGCCTTGTAATGAAAATTGCATATGTTGTTGATCTGTCTTGCTTAAAGCTAACTATCGGATATTTCGAATTCTTCACGGATCTGTCTATCAATTAATCTCTCCAATATTTTCATAGTGTGACTAAATAGTTTGATAGCTCTGTAGTTTGTACATTGTTGTATATATCCCATGTTATTGTAAACAGGTACTAATATACTGCTTCAACATTCGTCTGACATTTGTCCAACTTCCATAATTCTATTAAATATACCTGTTAACCAACTTGTTTTTATCGCTCCTAATGCTCTCCACACTTTTCAAGGAATATCATCTGTCACTTCCTAGTTTGTTATTTTCATGATCATTGTTGTTACAGTCTCCGTTAACTCAACTGTCAAATTCTTCATTTAATAAATTGTCAAAGTACTTTTTCCTTTTTTTGACATCCTTTTCGTCAATTAGTATTTTCATCTCGGATTTATCTAATTAAAGTCTTTTGTTTTCTATGCTCTATGTTGGCCATTTTATATATCTTTGTTTCAACTTAACCTGGTATCAAGTTGGTTAAATAAAAAAAATTCTAAAATCCTTTAACACTAACAACTTAACAACTACAAATACTCACGTCCACATAAAGTTTGGTTTTTCAGCATTTTTCGAAAGTCCTATCCATACATTGTCTGTAATATCCAGTTCTTTAAGGTATGCTCGTATGGCGTCATACTGCGAACTGCTGTCAGCTGAAATAAAATATCAATGTAAATATTACAAATATTATGTATTACTAATAATAAAGATAATATTAGCATATATATACATACACACACACACATATATATATATATATAATATATATATATATATATTATATATATATATATATGTGTGTGTGTGTGTGTGTGTGTGTGTGTGTGTGTGTGTGTGTGTGTGTGTGTGTGTGTGTGTGTGTGTGTGTGTGTGGTGTGTGTGTGTGTGTGTATGTATATATATGCTAATATTATCTTTATTATTATATATATATATATATATATATTTATATATATATATATATATATATATATATATACATATTATGTATGTATATGTATATATATACACATACACATATATATATATATATATATATATATATATATATATATATTATATATTTATATTATATATATATATATATATACAGGGTGGTGAATCGTCAAACGGGCCATAGGAAACTCAATGAGAAATTCTAAATTGTTGAATTCCTGCTTTCCCTAATTATTTTACACCAAAATTCATGGGAAACTATTTGTAGAGGACTTAAATATGTATCGAAAACAATTGTTACAATTGTTCTACGACTTAAACGTATTTTGTCATATTGACGTTTCTATTATTTGACAATATTTAAATCACTATATTATTTTTATCTATGATTTTAATATAGCAAAATTTTCCTGCTTCCAAAAAATACTCCACTGCAGTGGTGAAGCTTAGGAGACATTCGTTCTACTTTCCGTGTATATATTATATACAGGGTGAGTCACGCTCAACGGGACGGAGCCTACCGAGGAAATGGCTAAACATATTAAAAATTCCTTTTGTAGGAATACGTAGGTCAGCACCGGCTACAAATTAAAATTTGTGAGATATATACAGGGTGTCCCAATTTGGCGTAATGATATAAACTTATAAGTACTTTTTTTAAATGGAATAACCTATATTTCACTTTAATTTTAAATTCTACTGAACAAAATAATGTTACTTTATTCAACATTCCCTATACCTATTTTTGACCGGTTTCGATTTATTTGAGTTTTTCTGAAAATATACTATTCGCGAAATTAATTAATTACACAATATCGCATTAATTATAATTAACGTCTTCTTGTCAATTAATTTACAAGTGTCCATGCTTTACATCAGAATGATTACCAATTGAAATTAATCTTAATTCAAAATTAAAGTAAAATACATGGTTTCCCATTTAAGTTAAGAAAGTAATTATACAAAATATGGTACAGCATTGACACTTCAGATTGCGAACACTCTGTAGATTAGTTTCAAATGGTAATTATTCTGATGTAAAGCATGGACTCTTGACAATTAACTGACAAAAAGGCGTTAATTAAAATTCATGAGATATTGTGTAATTAATTAATTTCGCGAATAGTACATTTTCAGAAAAACTCAAATAAATCGAAACCGGTCAAAATAGGTATAGGGAATGTTAAATAAAGTAACATTATTTTGTTCAGTAGAATTCAAAATTAAAGTGAAATATATATTGTTCCATTTAAAAACGTATAAGTTTATATCATTACGCCAAATTGGGACACCCTGTATATATCTCACAAATTTTAATTTGTAGTTGGTACTAACCTACGTATTCCTGCAAAAGAAATTTTTATTATCTTTAGCCGTTTCCCCGGTAGGCTCCGTCACGTTGAGCGTGACTCACCCTGTATATATATATATATATATATCTATATATATATATATATATACAGGGTGAGTCACGCCCTATATATATATTATTATATATATATATATATATATATATATATATAAATAAATATATTATTTAAGTTCTAAAATATTTCAAAGATAAAATATTTGTATATACCACGAGAACATAAATTTTCAAGACCCTGTATGGGTTAAAAATTTTTTTAATATTTAATTATTTATAATTAAGAAGTGGTTTCGCAGAAAAGTGGACTTTTATAGTGATTTAGTTTCTAAAGAACAATTTATGTAAAAAAAACATTTCGGGTTATTTAGAAAGTTACTAAATACATTCGACTTCGAGCATTCAACGAAGCAACACTACAACGTATAAAAATGAACAATTTTATAAATTTAATTATTTTTTGTTCCGTTTTAAAACTTATATATCTGTAATATTGTTGTCAAATTTTAATAAACCGATCAACTTCCAATTTTTTTAATTCTAAAATTTACCCGGATATTTTTTTGTCATTCGCTAGCAAAATTTTGGATTTGCTCCCAAAAATGAATCTCGATCTCACGTCCTTAACAAATCTCCTATCCCTTCTGGATACTAAATTGTCCTAGCCTAAGCTTTTCTTGATGCAATGCTAATTTATCGGTACTTACAATTGCTGATAACATTAACTTCTCCACTGCTATCATTCAGCATACATGGAATCGACACTGCTACCATTTTTTCAAACACTTTAAAATACAAAAATTACTTTTTTATTCAAACACTTTGTTTTTTTTACTGTAAAAATTCACCGGCGCGGCATTTAATCTCTTTTTTTTTAGATCTTATTCTTTTTGCTAAACAGACTTTTTTTTTCACTTTCAAAATCCCATCAAACTTACAAGTGCTTCTTCTCTTCTCTATTTTCAACCAATCTTCTTTTAATATTTCAAACATACACACAAAATAACCATTTTCTACGAAATTAAAATTTTCTTGTTTTGATACACACCCAACAATAGCATCTGCATAAATTAAATGTCTAAACTTTCTCATTTTTGACAAGATAATAGCTGTTAAAAAATCTCAAGAAAGCTTTAATCTTGAAATAAAACACTTTCTATTTATACAACATTTAACTCTACTTAAATCTTAAATCGATTATCTATTATTATCTTAACTTTGTTTATTGAATCATAATGTTTCTGTTCAAAAAGACACTTAAAAATTAATACATACGTTAAAAAGTTAAAAAACAAAATGAAGAACGACATGTTAAAACAGTCGTCGTTGCAAACTTGATTTCAGTCACATTTCACGAGCAGAAAGAGAAAGTGGGAGGACAATTATTGTTTAAATAGTTCGAAGAAAATACAAAAAACAACTTTCAAACTAATGTAAAAATACCGTTTATGAAATTTTGAGTACTACCAACTGTATTACCAACTTAAGAATGAGAGGGAAATTAAAAATATTATTTATAACATAATCAATAAATAGAAAATAGTATTTAGTAAATAGCTTTACAAAAAACAAACAAAACAAAACTGAATTCATAACCGAAGTTTGATCAACAAAATTAGCAATTAATAGAGAAATTTTGAAAAAAGAAAAGAAAACTCTGAGATGCAAAATAGCTCGGTCAAAAGTCAATATAAAATTGTAAATTTTATATTGACAATAACAATCTGAATAAAAGATCTGAGATCCAGAATCTTAGCAAAATTTACAATTTTATATTGACTTTTGACTAAGCTATTTTGCATCTCAGAGTTTTCTTTTCTTTTTTCAAAATTTCTTTATTAATTGCTAATTTTGTTGATCAAACTTCAATTATGAATTCAGTTTTGTTTTTTGTTTGATTGTTTTTTCTAAACTTATTTACTAAATACTATTTTCTTTTTATTGTTTATGTTATAAATAATATTTTTAATTTCCCTCTCATTTTAAAGTTGGTAATACAGTTGGTAGTACTCAAAATTCATAAACGGTATTTTGTTAGATATTAGTTTGAAAGTTGTTTTTTGTATTTTCTTCGAACTATTTACACAATAATTGTCCTCCACTTTCTCTTTCTGCTCGTGAAATGTGACTGAAATCAAGTTTGCAACGACGACGACTGTTTTAACATGTCGTACTTCATTTTGTTTTTTAACTTTTTAACGTATTTATTAATTTTTAAGTGTCTTTTTAAACAGAAGTATTTTTAAGGTTAGTTGCAATTTAGTACATATCATGTTATTTAACGTTGTTGTTTATGCCATGAATGTTACATTCAGGTAAGTTTTTTATAGCTTTTTTATTGCATCATTCAAATTCTTACAACATAGTAATTTTCATTGTAGACCTTGATAAAGGTGGCAACAAATCACCGAAAGCTTGGATTTAGAATAAATAGTACGCCTTAGCAAAGCTCTATTTTTTATTGACTACCACACTCAAAAAGAAAAAAGTATTTAAATATTTTTTCCAAACCAGTAAAAAAATTTTGGACTACCTTGTCTTGTCTATATATATATATATATATATATATATATATATATATATATTATATATATATATATATATATATATATATATATATTATAAAGGAAAAAGTAAGTTTAGAACTTGACACTAAGACAAACAGTTACAGTGGAGCTCAGAGTACGGAAAGGTGATAATCTCAACCCACCTGTTATAAGTGCTACTAGAATGATATATTTAAGAAGCTTAAGTGAGAAAACATGAGAATCAACATTATTGGTGATAGATTAAGCTATTTAAGCTTCACTGACGATATATTGCTGGTTTCAGACAATCACACAATAAGAGACCCCAGAGTTGAAGTACACTAAACTTACGTACTTTAAGTTGTTAAGTAATATTTTATATATATTTGGGCCACAAACTTTAACAGGTCTTTGGTAGAAAGAAATATAGTATTAAAAACCACTATATAAAAACACTTACTAAAAAATCTGTGTGCAAAAATCAGAGTGAAGATGGATTACATACGTTCTAGAAAGTGGAACTGAAGTGGAACTGAGTCGGACACGTGGCGATAATGATAATGCTAGGTGGACCAAACACAGAATAGAGTGGTATCCTATATTGCAGTGATATGGATATGCCTTCGACAAGATAGATGGATTATATAAGATGATTACAACAAACTATTTTTATACGACACAAAATTGTGTAAGGTTGTGTAAGAATGAACATTCTTCGATTAGTTGACCAAGACTTCGCCATTAATATATCGTCCTTTTATAGTCTTATTGGATATACGCATTAACGAACATCTAAGATTGATAAATCTAGTTTTGGGAATTATATACATGCTTCAAAGCATGGCTTTAGTCCTC